AATGTATGACCGGGCAGCAGCAGGCTCGCGAGCCTGTGAGTCGAGGCTGAGGCTGGGCGGTTGGTATTTTATACCGACCAGACCCAGTATCTATCCCGGTAGCCAGGACCTAGATAAGATGAGGATCTGCGTCAGGCCCTCGGGTTTGACGTTTTTCTCCCACCCCCCCTCCCTTCTGTTGCGTCTTGGTGCCGCTTTCTTTCGTGCCACGGACTGATCATGAGGTCTCGCGCCACTCTTGAAGGGGAGTGTGACAGAGACCCAGGCGATGTTTTCGTCCAGAAAACAAGGGCAGGTGCTCCATAGCGGGCACGCCTGCGTTCCGGGCGAAGACGACTCCCTCCGAGTCATGATCATCCCATAGGATGATCTTTCTGTGGCTGTATAAAATTAGCAGGAGGATGCAGGCGAGTTGAATTGAGAAAGGGGAAAGGAGGAGAAAAGGGAGACCATTACTATACCGGAGGCCATCAGCTAGCGAGTAGCTAAAAAGCCTCGCCGAAATTATAGGGCTTTTTCTTTTATAGTAGATCAAGGACGGCGAGAGCTCTTTTTAAAACCCCCCCGCCGTCCCATATTTGCATGTGCGGGGAGTCTAAGTAACATGGCTTGCCAGAGTCATTGACGAACCGGGAAGATGGGAGGTGGGGAGTACCGTTTTCAGACAGGCCAGCCGCCGTGAGTGACTGCCACCTCTATTATTGGGGGAGCGTGTGTCCTCCTCGACTGAGTTGCGTGCGCGGCCCATCCGTGTTCCGCGTAAAACTCTACAGGAGAGTGCACGCCGCGTCGAGAGGCTCCCTTCCGTATGGAGCGCCCCGAACTCGTTTTGGCGCACCTTTATGATGGCCTCAGTCACTGTTATGAGATGTTAGATCAGTTACAGTTTGTAAAACCCAGTCTGTTTATGCTAGCAGATGGCTAGTGCGCTGCGAACCCCCAGGACCAGGCTGACTTAGTCCCGACCGAAGTGGTAGGCGCTAGGATGAACTATGTATGTAGCGCCTAGGGCCCTTCCGTGCGGCCAATATGTATGTCCCGTAACGGGGATCGCCTATGTCGGTCATTTATATGCAAGGCGATGGGTCACCCGGTCGGCAGAGCCGATCCATACGAGCGAACGAATGATTGCCAAAAGTCGTCCAGTTTTGAGCAAGTCGGGAAGCAGTTTCTCATGCAGGATAGGCATGGGAAAGATCGCACAGAATCTGTCATGCTGTGTCCTGCATTCCAGACCTCATGGGTCATGGAAATTCTGCGTGACAAATCGCGCATTCTTCCAGACCCAGACATTTTTACATTTGATACATCATCAATGTGGACGAGGGCACAAGCTCGTTTTTCCAATTTCCAAGCGTTGCGTCGCCTGGGTCACCTGCAGGTCATCAGCTTGAGAAGGAGGACAATAACATCGGGGCTGAAAGAACACTAGATGACGGCAAAACTACCGGTAAAAAGAGTCTTGCTGGGCGAGAGATGAATGGGGAGTCGGCTAGTGCTACGACAAGCCGACAAGTACAACCCCCGGATGTCGGCAGCGACGGCGGCAACAAGGATGAGAAATCTTTCCCCCCCACCGCTACCGCAGGTCGAGCAAATCCAAGTATTGGCGTATGCACATCTACCTCTACGGCTATTGCTGGTAGTTTTGGAGCCGCTGCATCGTCCGCTGGAACGAACACGACACAGCTATCCACGCCTGGGGCGAACTTTATTCCAGCTGAACTGCAACAAGTTACAACTAATGCACCTGGAGGTAGTGCTACACCTACAGCTGGAGTTGCAGCTTCTGTTCTGCCCGGAGATATCAATTATTCGAAAAGCGCAACTTCCACTTCCCGCGCCGGTGGCCTGGCACGATCTAAATCCTCGTCCGCACTGATGATGCGAGCAGGTGCTGAAACCACGACAAGCCACAAAAATCTAAACCAGCTGACGCAGCAGGACCGGGACCAGATCGCGCAGGACTTGCAGCAGCATTCCCTGCACCAGTCGAAATTGACGCTGGTGAAGCGACGGAAGATGATGTTTGAATTTTTCCGCTTATCAACTGCAATAGTGTCTGGGTCTGGAAGAGTTGGGGCTTGTCATGCACATTTTGCATGACCCGTGAGGTCTATGATGCTGGTGCTAGCATCACAGATTTTTTTGAGAGCTTCTTGATGCGAATTACGCATGAGAACCGCCCTCTCTGCGTGCCAAGAGCAGACTCCTCTTGCTGCTCATACAACACAGACATTTTTAGAATCCACAGACAGCATTACAAGTTCCACTCTTCCAGATCCAGACATATTTGCAATCCATACCGCTATTGGTCGGCCCGGAATCTACTTCCGACGATTTTGAATTCCGCATCGACAACAGCGGTGGTCAGGGGAAATAATACAACAGGGGCTTCTACTGCTTCGGGGATGTTGAACAACAACGATCCATCGAAGAACAGCACCTTCTTCCACTCCGCGTTTTTTTCCTCCCAACCGGTTCTTGATATCACGCTTTCCATCCTGCGGTCCGCGTTTTTCTACGCGACCTACCTACACATCCCGGTGCTGTTTCTCCAGTACTACCCCAAAGTCCCGAAGTCTGTCGTTGCGTTTTTCGCTAGTTTTTCGACGCAGATTTTAAAAGACGGGTTTAGGAGAATGGAGGTAGCGCGGAGCATCGTCGCCTACGCGCTGCACACGATCATTTTGTTGAAGGCGAATGGCGGGGCGGGTGCTGTGGGAGACGCGTATTGAATGCAAAGATGCAGTTTGGGCAAAAAATCCTGACACTGATGTCATGCAGCGATTTTTATTCCCCACCTAAACCAAGAAGCTCCGAAAAGCACAGCAGAGCATCACGATGATCACAGCAGGTCCTCTGCGAAGCGCCTCGAAAGAATGCCTCTTCCAGAACATCCGCATGAGACACACACTGTCCATCTTCGCGTGGCCTGAAAACAGTGGCAGCTGCTGTTCAGGCAGGACAGATTTTTGCGTGTCTGACAGATGAGAGGATGTTCACAAGTTTGGATGCAGCCAGACCGAGACATGTTTGCAATGCATATTTTTGGGGCCGCTGCGGGAAGAGCTACAACGTTCAAAGCCCTCCTGCCAAGACTTCGGAATCTCCTCCTGTTTTGCTGCAGCTGGGGCTTCCTGTGCCACATCCACGCGAACCCAGGCGCTTTACCGTGCTCAGTATACGACGAGCAGAATAAGTTTTGGGTGCCGCGCAAGGACTTTTTGTCCCCCCTGACACGGAGTTTGTTGCAGTACTTTCTGGACCAGAGGGCGATCCGCCATAAACCGCTGCTCGCGATCCAGTTTAGGAATTGAGGAGGAGAGGGTGATCGAAACCAAGAAAACGTTAATGCAAAAATTGGCGCGAAGATGGGATAAGCACTCTGCAGGAAGTATTTGTACTGATGCACCGAGTTGAAGGTCCGGCTGGAAGTAAGGACTTAGATTACAACTAGAAAGAAAAAGATTTTTATTGACTTGACGTTTCAACGCGAACGCGGCTCACCTGTACTAGACACCACAACCGTTTGCGATTTAGGTCCATCTTTTAAACGCTACAGCTGAGAAAGTAGTGCCGAATTTTTCTTGTAAAGTGTCTTGTTGCTTGCTCAATGTTGTGCTGTATACTGCTGGAGTAGAGCAAGACGAACATCGATCTCCATAAAATAAAAAGTCACATCCTTATTGTGTAGCCGTCAGTAGTTACTGACAGAAGTGCAAGAAGCCATTCAGAACATAAGGAATACTTCTAGGATCGTATCGGTATCGGCGTAGAGCTTTTGAGTTCTTTGTGAGTTTGTGGAGGGTGTGATTTTCCTAAAATGTAAGTTGTAGGCTTTTATCTACAAAAATAGGATGAAATTAGACGAGTTTGGAAAGTCGACTGTGCACAAGAAAGAAGAGTATGTCGATAGAACGCACGTCTTGGTGCAGGTGCAGCAACGCCATGATAGTTTTCAATATAAGATCAAGATGAAGATCGCCCTTGTACTTGCAGCTTACCAGCAGTTGTCTACATTTTTCGCCAGCATGGCTAGAAAGAACCTCATCTTCATGAAGTTTAGTGTGGGAATCTCGACTTCTATGACAACGAGGAAGAAATTGATTCTTCATGCGACGGAGAGGACTACTTACAGCAGCTGTGCGGGCACGGACGCGGACGCGAAAATTTAGATTGGCACGTTTTGGAGGCTAAACTGAGCGATCTCAAATGAAATTTAGATCTAGGCAATGCCTGTGCAAGGTCTTATCCGATCATCGAGAAATAGGTCACCAGTGGCTGCTCTAAGAAAATTGTCGAGCGCCAAGGTAGTTGCGAAACAGATCCACGAGAATTTGGAGTAGTGGTCAGAGGGTCGTCTCCGAATTACGAATTTAGAGTCACTGTAGCTGTATCGGTGAAAATCAAAGGTAAAGAAGTACAGGAAGCTGTGTGTTAGTCTCAGCTCTGTACAACGTCAACGACCAGAGAATCCCCGGAACGAAAAACGTATTCGATCTGAAAAAATCTCAGAGGAATAGAAGAAACGCAAGAATGTGAATATGTTGGAAGTGGATCTTGTTATCACCTGGATCCTTTGTTGGTCCGCTCCGCCCAGTAAAAATCACGCAAAAAAACGATCTTGTAAAAAATTGCGAATCGCCTACAAAGACAAAGGAGTCGTGAGATCCCATGATCCAATAGATCATCTAAGTACAACACCCAAAAATTGTTGTGAAGATCCTGAGGGAGAGGACCAACGGAATGCAGTGGCGATCCAAGAGGAGTTCCCGAGAAATCAAATTTAAATGCAGAAGAGGTCCTCCACATGAAGATCACACGAGGAATCATTATCGCTACTCGCATGTCGAACCCGAAGAAAAATCTAAATTGCTCTGGTGTCTTTTCATCTGAATCTCTCATTTCGACGAAAACTAAAACAGGGACAAAGAAACCTAAGTGTGGACACACTTCTGATAGGACACTAGAACAACACCCCAAAAAACTTCTCCAAAATGGACGCCGCATCTGAAAAGAAGTACGCTCGCGTTGTCGAGGTCTTGGGCCGAACCGGTTCCCGTGGTGGCGTCATCCAGGTACTTATATTTGTCATGCGTCATGCCAACTACTGACGGAGGTGCTGCTGTGCGACGGCGCATCAGAAATTTAAATAATTCATCGGTCTTTAGATTTTTTGAGGTTTGGTAGGTACATCTCCAGGCTGATTGCGCCACTGGTACTGATTTTATTCTTTTCATCTCGTTGTCTGATTTCAGCAGTTGAAATTATCGAAAAAAAAAACGAACTTCTCAGGTGAAGGTGGAGTTTCTCACTGAGGAGGGATCCGTCGTCCCGGGGGGTCGTAAGCTCGTCCGTAACGTCAAGGGCCCGATCCGTGAAGGTGACGTGTTGTGCCTGCTCGAAACCGAGCGTGAGGCCCGCCGCTTGCGTTAAGTGGAATGATCCAAGGGAAAGCTGTTGTGATGTCGCGCTTCGCGTGGAACAGCATTGGGTTGTGATGTCGCTCTTCGCGCATCACAGATTCTTGGGGGATTACAACTCTGTTGAGCAGTCGACAACGTTGAACACGACTTAGGATGAAATAAGTGTCTACTATTTGAAGTCCACAACATATTAAAGTAAGAAGCTTCTGGCGCTGCCTCTGAAACGTCAAAAGAGGACAAGTGTCGGTTTAGGTCTGTGCCTTTTGTTCTGTGGTGTTCTAGTACAACAAGTTGGGTGAACAGCTGCTGTACAGATGCTGGCAACGATTAGTGCGAGTGGCGCACAGAGCGTAGTGTTGAAACATGCCGGCAGCGGCAACTAAGTATGTGCGTAGTCCTTACAGCTGATGAGAGTCTTCTTCACTGTCGAGAGAAAAATGTGAGATGCAGCTATGAACAAAAGCCAGGCTGTGTGTAATTACCTCGCGTGGCGCAGTAGTTTCTGCGGAGAATAATGAGCGCGTACTGTAGAGTATTTAGCGGAGTAGTAGACTCCGTGGCAACACGACCACGCGCACCGCACGACATATACATCATCAACTCTAACTTCAGTGGTAATTGCGTCTGTACTGTGTCGAGAGCGAGATGATCACAGAACTTGAAAGTCCCTCCGGACGCAAGACTACTGTGACATCTAAATTCGTTTTTAGAATTTTTTATATAGCAGCTTCATGATGAGGATGAGATTCATATCGACACGCCAACAGTTTATTGATTCGACCACGTGCGGCGCTGCGTAGTTCGCTGTTGCCATCGGTGCATTTCCAGGCGACCTCTACGCAGGAGTGCCAAGGCGCAGTCGCCTTCAGCTCTGCATCTCGAGGTGATATCGTTTCCTAGTGTGAAGTTGATTCGACCTAGAGGTCGTTAACGTCTCCATTGCCGTCGATTCATCGCCGACTTGAAGCAGAAGTGTTTCGCTGGGATTCGAATCGGACCGTGCGACACCTGCAAGATCAACTCGAGCAACGAGGCCCGTCGAAGAAAATGCTAAACGTCGACTTCTTTCTCCGCCGCTTCTTGCACTACTCGGAAGGCGTCCACAGGTCCGCCAGCCCTTCCACTTCTCATGCAGAGAAGCGACCAGCACCAGAAGGAGGAGCGGGGAGTGGAGCAGTATATCCTCCCGCAGCTGCGTCATTCGACGCCGACAACATGATGACGACAACAACGTCTCACGGAGATAATACTGCTGTAGGTGTACTAGCGCATCAGCAAGATCTCGCCGCCCCGCCGCCGGGAGGATCAGATTCCGGCTTCTTCACAGTAACCTTTCGCTCAGGTGGAGCTGCTGCTGCGCACAGCCCCCAGCCATCCAAACCGTCCAGTAGTCCGCGCATCTCGCAAGTGGCGCCGCTGGAGCTGCTGGAAGCCCAGCACGCGATGACAGCGGCAGACGTGCAGTCTACTTCACGTGGTGTGGATGGAGCTCCATTAGCATCTGCCGAAATATTAAACTCGAGAAATCAACAATCGGAGGGAGATCAGATTCCTGGTGGAGCACCAGGCGCAGCATCTTCTACTGCAAGTACACGCAGGAGCAGCCTAGTGAAGAAGGGCACCGTTGGTTTGGAAGGCTCGTCCGAACAAACCATGTTTGAAAAGTTCCAGTTTGCCATGGCGATCACATCGGGGTCGTATTTCATGGTGGTTGCGATCGGCACGAAGGACATTTACTTGCTAGAATTCGGCGCGGACGCGACCATTCTCGGCACCTATTGGATCGTATTGAATTTCTGCGCACCGTTTTTGAACATTTTGTTCGGGTCCCTGATTCGCATCTACGCGGAAAACAAGGCTGCAGGAGTTTCTTCATCTTCTACAACAACTTCGGGCCGCGGATTGTCATCTTCCTCTAACTCTGTGGGTGGTGGGATGAATAAAGCGACTTCTTCTACTTCAACAGCCACGAATGTTGAGAGCGGCCCAGCAGCACTCACGTCCACCAGCGCCGGCACGGCTGTCACAGGAGCCTTGTCTTCAGCTTCGCCAACTAAAAGTGCAACAACATCATCGAAGAATAAAAAGCCGCCCTACTGGGGTCAGTTTGGGGGCTGGCTGTTGCTGGGCTGCATTCTCGGGTCCTGTTCCAGTTGCGCCATGTGGCTACCGGGCGTGCGACCCACAGCCTCCTCCGCGGACGACAATCCACCGTTTTTCACCATCGAGCTTTGGTTCTTCATCACGGCGCTGTTCTGCTGGAGTTCGTTTCTCGTGCTGGTCCTGGTGTACGAATCCTCCCGAGTGTGCCTATACCCGTTTAAGGAAGAGAGAGTGACGGTGGAGGGGTTCACGAAACTGCTGTTCCTGGCCGTGATTGTCCTGTTTCTGGGCATTTACCTGACCTACACATCGGCGCCCAGTGTGGGGTTACAAGTGTTCGTCGCGGTCTTGTCGTTTGTTCTCGGGAATTTGTCTCTAGTCGCGCTGAAGATGGTCCGAAGGGCGAGGCAGCCGGCGAAGAAAGTAACAAGGGAAAAGCGGAATGATCTTTGGAAAGAAGAAGGCAGCTGCGACAGGAGTATAGATGATGGAAACAAAGAGAATAACAATAAACCGCCAGTACTAGCATTAGACGTGGTTTCCCAACAGCAACAAAACGTCAGTTCCACACCGGCAGGCGAGTCTCAGGATTTCACAACAACTCTGGAAGACCACACTGCGGATCAGGACGATGATCGCGGGAAGAAATCAAAGTCAGACTCCTCTTCTTCTGGACCAGAAGCTGAAAAAATAATAGAGCATGGAGATGAACTTGAACATCAACTGCACGCACGGCCACATAAAAACGTTATCGTACAACCCACCGCCTCGACAAGTTCGACGACAAGTTTCTCTACTGCGAAGTTGGCGATTCCGTTTTCCCTGTCTGCGATTTTCGCGCAGGCGAGGCAAGACCTGCACGACTACTACATCGCCTTTACCACGTACGACGCGAACTTTTGGATTTGCCTCACCCGGTTCGCGACCGGTTGTTGGGAGGGCAGTCTGGCCGCGTGTGGGTTTTTCTACATAACCTACGTGTGCGAACTGTCCCGCGCGGACCGGTTGGAGTGGGCGGGATACATAGCGGTCTCGACGTCGCTTGTGGAATTGGTGTTGATTCCGTTTTATGAATTGCAAAAGTATCGTACTCGCACTAATTGCAAACATGCATGACAAAAAATCCTGTTTCTTAGCCAAATCAACATCACAAGCTCTATTTTTCCTTCTGAAAAAATTTCTATTGCGATTTGTACTGGTGCGATGGTTTTGGAATGCATACGTTTTGGGTGAGATTCTTCTCCGACGTGAAAAAAAGGAACGAACAAGTGCACACCATGCAGAAGATGATCAGTGCAATGCGAGGACTGGACGCGGTCTTTATGATGTTCTTCACGCTACTTGGTGGCTTCGTGTTGACCTCAACATCTTCAAGCGGGTCATCTTCCAACAGCTCTACTGCGGCCTCACCGGCCGCGTTCCTCTTCATGGCGGTTGTCAGCAGGATCTTGTTTTCGCCGTTCACCTACTGGAGGATATCGGCGCAGTGTATCCACAGAAATAAAGAACCGATCCCGATCCATATTTTGGCATGCATTTTGGCATGGCAAACACTGAACTTGATCCATGTTTTGCATGACAAAGTGGAAGGTTTTTGATGTGGTGCAGCCGGGTACTATGCATGACAAATTGGATAGGGATCATGGGTTTTTTTCTAGGGACACAGTGCTGGTGCATCGACGAACATTCGCACAAAACCGGGAAGCGGGAGGAGGCTCTGTAGAGTTTTTTTTGGACGACGAGTACAGCATGAGAGATTTCATTTTCGCAGCTGATCCACTACTACATTAGCATGGCAAATTCAACATTAGTTTTAGTGCGTTCATTTTACACTCGCAGCTGAAAAACAAAAATTCTAAATCCAGGTTTTACGCCCTGCACGCTTTTTGGTACGAAGTCGGGCGAGGTCTGATAGGCTCCATTTCTTTCTGGGGTATGGGCTTCATTGGCGGTTTGAAAACCCGAGACTGCTTGAAGGCTTGCACCGACGACGATCTTGTCGCAGGACAAGTGGACGAAACGACGTGCCTGGACCAGTGCTACGACCTGAATCTGAAGGAGCAACCGGAGTCGCTGAAGGTTATGGATGTGTCAGGATCGAAATCGTCAAAGTTGAAATAGTTTGTCATGCAGAAAGAGCAACGCAAAAATTGTCTCTATTGCAGAGGACGCAAGGGAGGCAGACTGTGACTGTAAGCCTGTTGCGGGGTAGAAGTTGAGCTGCTAAAGTAGTATTACAAAAGGCGTCTTCCCTTACCCAAACAGCATTACAAACTGACTTCATGTCTACTGCGCCACTTGAAAACTAGGCGCCAACTGGTATCCGTTTTGTGCATCACAAATTTCAACAATCAACATCAACTCTGACGATTTCGATCCTGACACTCCCATAAAGGTGTACCTGAAATTAATGTACTTGGTCATCTGCCCGCTCTTCGAGTTGCTCGCGAGTTACTGCATTTGGAAGTTCCCGTATGAGAGTGCACAACTCCCCCTCCCCCTCATTCGTCATGCAAAATTCCAAATCCACCCTTTGCCTGTTAGCGCTGCTTGCATGAGAGATTCCGGAAGTAGCCAAAACAGCACTACAATCCCCTGGGAATTTGTCATGCAAAAGCTGCATCTTTGCCAGCCGTTGTGATGCTGTTCATGCAACACATATGAGGGGGAGGGGGAGTTGTGCACTTTCATATCCCGATTACCGGGGAGAGATTGCTGCAACTGTACGAAAACCAAGGCAACCACTTTGTCAAGGTCGATCTGCTATGTTGATTGCAAAAGTACTAAAGCGTACTGTGTGTACAAATTGCAATACAAATTGGTTACATGTTGAGCTTGTAATGCGGATTTACCTTAACAGTAACAAGAACAACTTGTAATGCATGAGCATGATTGGGATAGGGATTACGAGTGCGATAGTATTTGCAATGCATATGTGAACGCGGAATTGGATTCGACTAGCTCGGAAAGGTGTAGTATTTCGAATGGAGTAGAAGGTCTTGCCCCTGCTGGTGCAGCTACCGATGCTAATGCAAATACTGTTTCTACAACTGCGCAGAAAGAGGAAGTCGACGAAGTGGCGGTGGCAAGTTAATAAGTAGAGCCGGACGCGGACACGTGCAAAAATCAACACAGTCGACAGTCCCCTGGGGCTGCTGATGTCAGCCTGAGAGGTAGAAGAAGGCGATGAGGATAATTTGTGCTTGTCTGCTATATGTAAAGCTCCATTGGCGTAGTTTCGTCGACGGAAAAATTAGTCTCGTGCGTTCGACGTTCATCTTGCGCCTCGACGTTTTATTTGTCCTCACGATGAAAATTATGGTTGCGAGGATGAGGTCATCTTTCTGCGCTCGTGCAAGTAGCACCCAAGAACATCGAGATTCTTCTACTTTGAATCACGAGCTGCAACACGAAAGTCAAATGTCGTGAATGAAACCCAAGAAAGAGGGACGGGATGAAAAGTAAAAGTTGACTGTTTATACTGGCCAAGAAGGAAAACGAGAAGGACACCGCTCACGGGCAAGTCCGTAAGGTAAAATAGTGAAGTAGATCTAGATACTTCTGCTGAGATATTAGAGCTTCAACTTTCCATTGCCATGATTGGAAGAGCTGAATTTGATTTTGGACTGTTTCGAACATTATAGAAAGTGTTTTAGTCGAAGTATCAAGTGCTTTTGCCTTAGTATGGTCTTATTGTCGCGGTCTCCAGTAGTAATACTAGGAAATCGGTACTACTCTTACTATTTTTCACCCGCGTGCTATTTTTTGCGGCTCTGGCACTTGGCAGTACGTAGGTCACTACTGCACGACGCTGATCCCGCAGCAGCGAGTCGGCTTACAAGTTTTTCTAGTACACATGCTGAGTTATGAAAAGTATTGTGCTTGATAAGTACTCTTTCAGTTTGGTTCACTGATAAATTTCCATCATGATGATTTCACATTTGTTTGCAGGACGACTCACTTGTTTGCAGGGCTGTGCATCGCCAAACAAGATAGAGATAAAAGTCAAAGTTTTTCAAAGCAAGCAGCAGGGTTGTTGTCAACTCCTGGAGCAACTCGTTTGCTCCCTGGTCTTGCGGACCCTTGAATGAATGCGTGTCGTGTGTTCATCTTTGTTTGCAAGAACAGTAGGATAGTCTTGCTCGCAGTACAACAGGAACAATCAGAGAGATCATAATTATGCTCGTTGAGGTTTGATATTGACGGCAAACGGACGAAACCGAAATCATTACCATTGTAGTTCCGCTTGTACTTGTTCCAGAACGAAGGTCGTGGCCAAAGTTATCACGATTGGAATCTATCTTCGGCTGGACGACTGAACAGAGGTTCTTGACCAAAAAATTGCCAGGATCTCACTTCTAGCTATTATCGCATCGTCGCGAGCGAATCTGCTTCGGCATTTTGATTTTTCGAAAATCAGATTTTTCATCTTCAGGTCCAAAAATAAATGACAATGACCTCGCCCTCCCCGCGTCGAGAAATGTGTCATGGATAAAAAAGTTATAAGGATCTAGAAGATGAAGATCATCACCACCGCTCAAGGACACCGAAACGCGCTCTCCTGACGCCGATCTATCAAATAACTAAAGCGCTGCTGACTCCACCCACTCCGTCGAGACTCATTGATTATTCATGGCTTTGGACGAGCTTCGGTTTTTCTTCTTTTTAGGCAAACGGGTTCGACGCTTGATCATTTTTGTTTCTTCCAGCAAGCTGTAATCTTCCCGAGAACTACCCAAGACCTGTGACCTGAAAAATCTTGCGCTATTTTTACAACACGTTCTGAAAATCGGGAAAGATGTCCGTGAAGATTCTTGCCCCGCCCACAGCACCTCTAGCGGAAGAGGACGCGGGCGTCGACCACGAGCGAGCAAGCGTTTCCTCTTCTTCGGTTGATGAAGGCCTTGTTCTGACGGACGATAAGGAGCTACAACAACTTGAGCACCTCCCTCCACGTCAATCTGCGCTAGCAGAGCAGACGCACTCAGGTCGGGCACCATCAGCCTCTACTACTTCTGCCGGTGCAGCCGTTATTTTCTCCCCCGAGGACCGCCGCCACGGAGTTGCAACGAGAGGAGCTTCCTTCGACCAGATACAACTGCATCAACACGAGGTGAATTCCTGCAGATGCTGCCTCTGCGGCGTTTCTCTGACCGACGAGAACAAACCGGGCGAGAACAACAGTTCCACGGTTTGCCTCAACTGCCTGAAGCAAGAAGCTTTATCCGCGCTCAACGCCGACGGGAAAAGCAGCGGCTTCCCGACTCTCTGTCAAGTGAAGATGTGCAAGGGTTGCCACCGGTACGCAGCTATGCAATGCAAAAGTATCGTATTCGTAACTAGTATAAATTGCATTACAAATTAGCCCAGCATTACAAATTGCATTGCATTTGTAATGCTGATTTACCTCGAGGGAGAGATTTGAAATGCGTGATCGCAATTACTACGAGTACGATACTTTTGCAATGCATAGCCGCCCCGTCTGGCGGCACAGCGAACAGCTCCGGGTCGCAGACAAAGCACTGGCTGAAATGCGACTGGGAATCTCGGGAACTGCTCGGCTTGTGCTTGAAATCCCTCTGCCACAGCTGCAACCACTTGTCTACTTCTTCTAGAGAATCTCTTGCGGGCGGCGGCAGTGTTGCTGGGTCGACGTGTTCAGGCTCCGCGAAGAGCAGTGGCACAAGCTCTGGAGCTGCATCTGTAGCGTTGTTATACCAAGGTTTATCCCCAAACGACATTACCGACGCTATGTTTCTCTACACGGAGCCGCATTCGAGACGGATCAAAGTCCGGGTGACTATCCCGACGAAGACGGCAGTTGGAGGAGCATCAAGTGCTACAAGCAGCTTCCAGAATCTCCTCGAGACGCAACGGGAAGTTGAGTACGTCGTGAAAACGGAGCAGTGTCCGGACTGTGCAAGGGAGTATACACCGCACACGTGGACGTTCCTGATCCAGGTGCGGTTAAAAAAGTCGAAGTATACGACGAGTAGTGCTTACACGCGCCGGGTTTTTTCGAAGCTAGAGCAGATCATTCTGGAGAAACAGAACAACGAGATTGTCCAGCACTTGGTGAAAACGGACCTGCAGGACAGTTCCGCGGACTTTTATTTCCGGAACAAAATCCACGCCAACAGCTTCTGCGAACTTGTGTCGAAAAACTTTTTGTTGGACGAGAAGAAGGAATCGAAGACGTTGATCAAGTACGACGAGCAGAACGCGTTTTCCAGATACAAGTTCACGACGCTGCTCTCGCTCACCCCGATTCTGAAGTGGGACCTGGTGTGCGTCACGCAGCCGAAGTTGTTGTCCAAACACCGGATCAAGATCAAAAACGTCGCAGATTTGCAAAAGCAGAGCTCCTATGGATTGCAAAAGTGTCTGGGTCTGGAAACTTGTGATGCTGGGCGGCGTATCATGAGGAGGCAACAAGTGCTGGCTCAGCATGACAAGTTTCTGAGCTTCTAGGTATTGCCTCTTGTGCATGACAAACTGCGTTTCTGCATGACAGCAAAGTGCAAGTGGGTCTCTTGGGTAATGTGCATGACAGATTTACGAGCCATGTGAAACAAGCATGACAAACTTGCGTTCCTCCAGACCCAGACATTTTTGCATTTGATAGCTCCAGTCGGGTGCTGCTGTGCGTGAACAGCCGGAATGCGAAGTTGGAGCTGTATGGAAGCGTCAGGTTTGAAATCGTCAAAGTTGAAATAATTTCTCATGCATAAATTGCAAGACATGAAGCGCCTCTCTTGCAGGGATGGCAGGCGAGGCCGACTGTCAGCCTGTTTGGCGTTTACGATAGAGCTGCTAAAGTAGCATGACAAAAGACGCCTTCTGTCCCTAAACAGCATGACAAACTGGATTTAGGCTCTACCCAAATTTGTCACGCGCCACTTGAAAACTGGGCTTCAATTGGCATCCATTTTATGCATCACAAACTATTTCATTTCAACTTTGACGATTTCAATCCTGACGCTTCCATAAGCTGCTCGACTCGAATAGCGGCAAGCTGTACGTTTGTCACGACTCGAAAGGGCTGCTCACGATTGCCGACAAGTCCGCGGTTAAGGAGTTCACCATCATGGACATCGAGCATAATTTTTATACCGGCAATAGGAATAGAAGTAGCTCCTGTACATCTACCGGAGCTGTAGCAGCAGGTAGCGAATTCTGCATGACAAGTATGGCGTCAGTGTCCCGGACGTCGGACTTGGGAACGACAGAAGATGGGAATCAGGTGCATGGGGTGCACCTCATCTCGAAGTTCGGAACAAGAACTACGTCAGCAGGAGGAGGAGGTGCTGCGGCTGCTGGTGCGGGTTTAACTACTTCAAGAGCGGGGGCTACTTCTGTTTCATCATCTGACAACAATGCGACGACGAGGAGGACTTCAATAGTACCATTACCAGCTGCACAAGAAGAACATCTTCAAAATAACCCGACTGCAGGAGATGTTGCCATGCGCCAGAAACGACCCGACCACAACCAGCACGGGCAGGGCTTTGCGCAGCTCGACGTGATATGGAAGCGTCAGGTTTGAAATCGTCAAAATTGAAACGATTTGCCATGCATAAAATGGCTACCAGTTGGAAGCCCAACTTCCAGGCGGCGCATGACAAATTTTCGGAGCACCGGAATCCAATTCGTCATGCTGTTTGGGCGCAGAAGACTGCTTTTGTCATGCTCCTCTAGCAGCTCTATCCCAAATAACCCTAAATAGGCTCGCAATATACCTCACTTGCCATCCCGGCGAGACAGGCGCTTCATGCCTTGCATTTAATGCATGACAAACTATTTCAGTTTTCGTTTTGACGATTTCAAACCTGACGCCTCCATACGTGAGTGACGAGGTGTATGGGTATGATTTGCGGTGTTTGGTCCGTTCCGAACTGGAAGAGATTGCGCAGGAGGGGAACAAAAACGGGGACGAGTTGAACGTGGCCTGGAACATCCCGCCGGTGGTGCTGTGCTACAAGGTTTAGAGCAAGTAGGCGAAAAGTTGGTTCTTCTTCGTGTTCGTGCTAGACACGCGGAAGATCATGTGAAGACGACCTGGTCGTCCACCACCACCTCGTGGCAGGAGCTATTGCGGAGCTGCATCGCGCCCCTTTCAGCCTTGTTTCATTCCTCGATAGAAGTCCACTTCTTGTTCTCAGAACAATCACGAAAGTGAAGTACAAAAATAAGTAAGGACAACTCCACCTGACTCGTGCCATTTTTGCTTTTGGCAATGCAGGCTTTATTTCTTTGTCTAATCGCGACACAGCGTGTTCATGATAGTAAAGATTTCCTGCTCAGCGTCCTCTCACCAAGACTTCTACTAGGGGAAGTGTACTTTTAGTGTTATCGGTCTAGAAGTCGACTTGAACTGATTTTTTGAAAATGAAAGGTCTTGCGAAGGACCTTCATCGGATCAAAATTTCGTGTACAAAAGCCTAAGAATATTAAGCGAAGAACTGTATACGACAATCCAAAATTGTCGCTCTGTCCTGGTCAAATCCAAATGGACGAAGATCTAAATTGAAGATGATGATCCACACTTGTAGTTTGCTTCGGGCTCCTCATGCTCATCGGTGTCGGTCGGCACTTACGTAAAAATGTAAGCCAGTTATCATGCCCTCCGCTCCTCCCTCACATCGGACGGAATTCTAGTATGGAGCTTGCGCTCGGAGGTATCGGTTGTTGGTGGTAGTTGTCAATGCATTGAAGATGATCAGCATCAGTAAAGGTTCTACCTGTAGTTTCGATAACATTTCTTGCCGTGTACTCAGCATCAAAACTGGGCCTCAACAAGGGCAGCACGCGTCGGTCGCTTTTTCGGATGGAGGTTGTGCCACCTACTAGGACATAATGAAATTCTACACAGAACAAGATCAAGATCCCCCCGCAGCGGAAGAGAGAAGTCAAGACTTGCGCTTGATGTTTCTGCCTGGGTAAATAGTAAAAGTAAAAGATCAAATCGTGGTCCAGCACAAGGACAAAGATCATCTTGCGTATTCATAGTCGCTTCTACTTGTTGAAGAAAGTTGCAAACTGTACAAGATGGAAAGTCCTCGTAATTTTTCAGCAGGTTAGAAGCGTGTGCTGTGCGTTCTTACGCTAGCTACAACAACTTGTCCTGTTTTCGACAAAAATCAAGACTGCCTTACACCTTGAAGATCTAGTTTATTGGGCCTCGAGCTTCATTCGCAAAAATCCATCATCTTTATTTATTAAGTATTACTCACGTTCTTCGCGACTGACTCGTCGATTGCAGCTTTACGTAATTTGAAGACGTCGACCTACCCCGCTGATTGACGTACTAGTAGTAGACGAGGGACGAGATCGCAAGAAGCAACCCCAGCCGTCAGTTTGAAACGAGCTCACAAGTCCTGTGAAAGTAAGAGCAAGTTATCGCAAAAACTACTCACCGAAACGAGGACGCACGCGGAAACTTTTGAAAAGGGAGCACGAGCCATCTTTTAGAGTACTTCTAAACTACGCCCTACTGAAGCTATTTTGTATAATATCGTGCGGACTCAAGAAAAGCTTTGCTGTTCCCAGCAGTTAACCTCATTCATTCCGAGCTAAGCGCTCTCTTACAACTTGATTGAACTTTTTCTAAGCGTAAAATAAAGGAGCCCCACTCCGAAGAATAATTTACCATTACTCTCAGAAGCAAGGACTTGAACTGCTATATGCATTTGAGAATAATAAAAACAAATCGAAGTAGCTCCACTACATTAAAATCGAGAATGGCCCCTCAAAGAAGACGCTTCTCTACTACGACGTCCCGTGGAACCAGGACTCTGGTGGTGCTCCGGTTTATCGCTTTTGTGTTTGCTGGAGCAGGGCTTGTCTCGGACACACATGTTTTATGCGCGCATGCAGCTGCCGCGGCCGCCCCTGCAGCAACTCGAACCGCAACAGCGGCGAACGGTCCGGGAGACGACGACCTTTTCGGTCGTCTAGACGAAACCGCAAAGGGGGTGCGGGACCTTCTATATCATGCGGAGCTCAACGAGTTCCTGGACAAGATTTACCTTCGCATGCTTCCGGCGTACCTTCTTCGGTTCCTGGACAAAGAGGTGATCTTATGAAAAGCGGCTGGAAGATGTCGAAATCGACAAAGTTGAAATGGAAAATTATATACTTGTAAGTAACGCAGCTGCAAAACATAAATTGATACCAGTTGGAAGGTAGAGGTAGTAGAAGCTACCCACGACTTCCTTCCCTTACAAATTTTGGCAGGAACTACAGGGAAATGCAGTCTGTCCTGCTTTTTAGGGAGTGGAGACATGATGATCTTTTGCCATGCTACTTGTACTTCTTTAGCAGCTGCAATATCTATCTTCAACATCAGCCCGAAGCTGCTCACCGGCTTACAATCATCTCTGCAAGAAGAGCACGACAGGTGGCACTTCGCGCCTTGCATTTCTATTTCTTGCATGGCAAACCATTTCAACTTTTCCTGTCTCGAAGTTCCTGACGCTTCCATAGATCAATCGGAATGCTTGGTGGCATGAAAAAGAGCACAGAGAATGGGTGCCAGAGTGGGTCCGCGCTTTCGCCGCGGACCGCCAGACGGTTGCCGTCACACTGGAAGAACAGACCCAGCTGAATATCCTGAGTGAAAACGTACCCACCCCAGAGTTGTAATGCAAATGCGCAATGACAAGAACATTTGTAATGCGCATCCTCATGAGAGGTATTTCCAATCGTGATTTGGCATTTGTAATGCTGTAAACAGGATGAGAAATTGGCTTTCTCATGCGGCTTGCCTTGCTATGCACCACTATACTACAGACGGAAACTTGTCATGCACAACTCCCAAAGCTTGCCGATTTGTCTAGCAGATTTCCCATCTTGACTCTGGTGTGGGGACGTTTTTACTCAGGATA